TGGATTCCGACCGGGAAGTGGTACCATTCAGAACTTTCATTTATATGATCATCAATGCGAGACTCTGATTTTCTGTTGTAGAGGTAACTTGACATCACAGCGGGTCAAGCAGTGCGACGTTTGGCGACGACTATGTGTAGTGATCGCGCTATTTGCGCAGCGAACGATGTCGATGGAGATTGACGCACGTCAAATTACACATGCGTCGAACTCTATCGACATCGTTCGCTCGCCCGGTCCTAGACACCAGTCATATCCAAATGTCGCGCTTCGAGTTATGCTTGGCGCCGAAAGCCAATGCATACGGACCACTGCATAAGGTTGTATGCAGTACTGCGAGGGCCGACGGCCACAAGGATGAAGATTAGTACACGTTGGGCAAATAGGGTTGACGATTAACTCATTAGACAGATATTGCTGTTCTGAAATGTTCCTTGGTTCGTTCTTTAGCTTCGTGTGCTCCAATGAAGCATGCCTTGACCATGACTTCATGGCTTGGTAACTATCGGGAACCGACTTCTATACTATCGAATCTATTTAGGAATGGTTTTTACACTATATTTTAATGTAACATTAGCTCAGTGGTAGCGCGTCAGGATCTTAACCCAAAAGTCCCCAGTTCGAGTTGGGGGTTTTATTCAGTGTTTGTATTTTTGTACAATTTCTATTTTTATCATTTCTTCGAAACAAGGTGATGTGAGGTCAAACGTGCGGGTCGTCCCACTTACTGGAGCAAATCGGTCATTGAATATATGCCGAAGGGTTGATGAATGAAACACCAGAGTTTGCGTTAGGCACGAAGGGACACCAGGCGATGTAGCATACTGTATCCGATCATACAGCCTACGACTAGAGTAGTTCGAATAAGGAGTATAAAGGTATGGATTAGGAGCTCCTAAACGCAATATTCAATTATCTAAATGAAAGAGGAGGGCCAATCGTTCGTCGGTTACGAACATTTCTACCCGCAGGCACTACTCCACGACATCGGCGTTGACCTCTGAAACGAGACGCTGCCTCGGTTCGATGGGCTTGGTTACGGACAAATGCTGTTGGATGCAATGGTGCGCCATTGACATCTCGTCCTTGGACTTTCAGCGCGAAGACTGGATGGCAACAGTACTTCTTTTTGTTGAAGATTTTGCATTCACACGCCACGTTGTAGTAGTACACGTTGGCCACCTCCAAATGCTCAGGTGGTGTCGCCGTGGGGCGGCATGCCTCCATGGTGGCAGTGGTGTTCGTCTCATTACCAACCGCATCACTCTCACGCGCCTGGGAGAAGGCATACCTAGGAACGATGCCGACAATACGGACAGTCCCCGGAACATGTTCAAGATCTGGATTGCGAGGGACAACGTCGAGGAGGCTGTATGTGATAAGGCGCCTGCATCTCCGGACCAACTTTTCGCTTGGAGACACTTCTGACGTAAAGGTGGTTATCTTGACCGTTGAATACTCCTCTGCGATGGAGCCCAGCAACTTAAACGTAGCGCACAACCCATGCAGTGAGCGCTGCGTATACGTTTCTAAACGTGGTTTAGTTCGGCATTGTAACAACGTAGCAAAAGTACCTTTGAATTGCTTGTTGTAGAGCTCGCATGGGTTGTTCGTAGTGGGAAAACCACTAGCTGTATGGTACACCTGCCATTTGCAAAAGTCCCCGGTCATCCACTGTTCTGCGAAATAGTGGACGAATTCCTCTGCCAGAAGGATATCACACGCCCCACGCTTCCGTTGCTGAGGCCTAGTGCATCCGACATTCGGTGGGACTTCGACTGTAATGCATGTTGAACATGTGAAACGCAACCAAAGCTTTCACACGCGTGGGAACCGCCCCTAGTCGTTTGTTCACGGCAGCCACGCAGTGGTAGAAACACATGAGTATCGTCTGCACGTTGAGTTGGGACAGCATCTTGATGGCGGGCACTGGTGCCAACGCTGTATCACCCATGACGTAGTGTAGACGCAGCGCACTTCCAACCACAAGCTGGTAAACATCCATGACAGCCGTCATTGCCCATTCGTACTCGTTGGTGGATTCTCTTCCAATTAGGAAGAAGGCATCAGGGTGGAACTTACCGCCAGGGTCTGTGATCCCACAGATCAGATCCAAATACCCGATCGAATTGATCTTGTAGGTTGCATCCCAATGAAACACAAACGATTCATCTGTCGGACGAAGCAATACCGGACGTGGAAATTTCGGCAGCGAAGCGACAACGGCCCTGCCCCGAAACCATGGTGCACACAGGAATAACTGGGGGGCGTGAGTATGTGCGGCAGCCCCACCGAAAGCGTATCATGCACCCCATAGAGAACGACGAGATCGCTCAAGATTATTTTCTTGACAGTTACCACATTGACGCATTGCTGGCAGGCGATAGCTTTTTCGCTCCCTCTACCTCTTCATGTGACCATGTTGTCGCAATGCTGTATTGCTGGCCACGCCGCTGCAATTGGTGAAAACTGTTTCATCGAGATCGAAATTCGAAGGAAGTACCTCGAATTGGATGCGTACCTCCAATCCACGACCCAAGCTGGAGTCCCACGGTCCGAAGTGATTACGCACCATGCACCACGGCCCATACCCAGTCGAAACCCAAAGGTCGAAAGACTGCCCAGACTGGCGATCGTTCGTCCCCCAGTCGGTCCACACTACACCACACTCCTCAACCACCAAGTCGACACCAAATGACCCGCCACGAATGGGTCATATGACTCCGCACGCCACTTTGACCCGCCCATATTTGCCCCCCGCCGTCCTCCGGTACCAAGCCGACCACAAACCCCCTCCCAAACACTGGTAATGAGAGCCATCGAGAAGACCCCCCCCCCGCCCAGCTGAAGATGCAGCAGACGAGCAAATCATCGACCTTTGTGATAGCGACGACTCCGAAGTGGAAGCCTTTGAAGCCTTCAAGGCACATCGGCGAGCTAAAAAATGGAATGGGAACAACAGCTCAAGAAGAAGTACGAGCAGCACCAAGTTCGCATGAAGTTCGAGGTAGTACCACCAACTGCCCTCACTGAGGTGTACCATCACATTGATGACTCTCTGTCGGCGACCAACAGCCTTGCCCCAAGGCTTGCACGATTGTCTCGTGGTGTAGCATTCGGCACAGACACACACCCGCACTGCCGTCGATGCTCGAAGCAGTTTCCGCGCACACTACTCCAGCTTTATGACAACCTCGTCACGCAGACGGAATGTGCCCCAGAACGATTCAGCGCTATTGAGCTTTGCCAAAACCAAGCCATTTCCAAGAACTCCCCCCCCCCACAACAGTTGTTGCGGATTCAAAGTTAACCCACGCATTGCGTGTCGACGAAAGTGTCCCTGCAGGAACAAAAATCATTGAGTACATCGGCGAACACATCGGCAACGAAGAGGTTGCAGCACGGAAGGAAAAGCGTCATGGCGCGAAGGATTGGTACATCGCGCGCGTGGGCACCAACGGAAACTTGTACGTTGACTCCTCGAAGTTCGGTAACAACTCGCGGTTTATCAACCATGCCTGCGTTCCGAATTGCCACTTCGAGGTATGGTATGTAGACACTAAACGAAGACTCATGGTGGTCGCGATAACTGCTCCCCAGCAAGGCACTATATAGACGCTCTCTTACATGAACGCAGCGTGGACATTACTCGCGTGTGTGGGGCGTGCGACGGTGGCTATAATCTTACTGATATCGTTCAATTAACAGTAAATGAATTTTTCCTGCAATTGCCGTGGTCGCATCAATTCAGGACATGCCGCGACGTTTAATGCTACTTGGATCTAGTTTCATCCAAGATTCATTTTGCAAAACCAGATGATCTGCCATAATACTGTAATGCTAGTACTACATAGTAGTACGCTGTGGTGGCAATCATCCCACCTAATTCTTGACATTATCGGTGATCGTCCGCACATCCATGAACTTCAAGGGCTGCTTTTGGCCCATCTAGTGAATTTGGTGGCCCATCACACCGGTCGGTATAATAAAAACGCCATTTTATCAGAATTTTCGTGGGTCTTAACGTTTTTCATACCCGGTTTAACGATTTTGAGCATTCCTTAACGATTTCATCACGTTACCACGACCTTTGAGTTAAGAAACATATGCTCTACCACTGAGATATTTTCCCTCCTCCCATAATAGTCTACTGACCTACAAATGTTTTAGGATTAAGTACCAGTAGACAAATCCCTAACACAAGGAGGAGAATGGAAGCTCAGAGTTAGACTTCCAGACTAAGTTTAGTAAAGTAATCAGATGTGCGATTCTGGAATCCCAGATGCTTCGATTTGGCATTTCCGACGAGTACAAAGGATATCGTCTGTGGCAAGAATCAGACAATGATTTCTTATCGCCCGAGAGGAAAGTTCGAAAAGTTGGTCCGGAGATGCAGGCGCCTTATCACATACAGCCTCCTCGACGTTGTCCCTCGCAATCCAGATCTTGAACATGTTCCGGGGACTGTCCGTATTGTCGGCATCGTTCCTAGGTATGCTTTCTCCCAGGCGCGTGAGAGTGATGCGGTTGGTAATGAGACGAACACCACTGCCACCATGGAGGCATGCCGCCCCACGGCGACACCACCTGAGCATTTGGAGGTGGCCAACGTGTACTACTACAACGTGGCGTGTGAATGCAAAATCTTCAACAAAAAGAAGTACTGTTGCCATCCAGTCTTCGCGCTGAAAGTCCAAGGACGAGATGTCAATGGCGCACCATTGCATCCAACAGCATTTGTCCGTAACCAAGCCCATCGAACCGAGGCAGCGTCTCGTTTCAGAGGTCAACGCCGATGTCGTGGAGTAGTGCCTGCGGGTAGAAATGTTCGTAACCGACGAACGATTGGCCCTCCTCTTTCATTTAGATAATTGAATATTGCGTTTAGGAGCTCCTAATCCATACCTTTATACTCCTTATTCGAACTACTCTAGTCGTAGGCTGTATGATCGGATACAGTATGCTACATCGCCTGGTGTCCCTTCGTGCCTAACGCAAACTCTGGTGTTTCATTCATCAACCCTTCGGCATATATTCAATGACCGATTTGCTCCAGTAAGTGGGACGACCCGCACGTTTGACCTCACATCACCTTGTTTCGAAGAAATGATAAAAATAGAAATTGTACAAAAATACAAACACTGAATAAAACCCCCAACTCGAACTGGGGACCTTTGAGTTAAGAAACATATGCGCTACCACTGAGCTAATGT